TATGGAATGTTAAACCAGAATACGTTTTAGCCTTATCTAATTAATTTGATATGTATAGTAATTGTACTACTAGTTTTAAACCTAGAGTAATGTTGTCTCAGCAACGGTACTATTGGTATTTTGGACCAGATAACCCTTTCTGGGGGAGCGGTGCAGCCTATGCAACATTCCTGGTGGCCCATATCAGCTAGATGCCAATAGAAACCCCTACCACAAGGTGTAACAACACCAAAATATTTTAAGATGTAGTCAAATGTCCCCTGGCAGTGGGAGCACAATCATCCCCAGCTGACAACCATTGCCCTAGAAAAGCTCTTACATCTGAGCATCTAGAGACATGCAAAATGTGATCATAGTAGCCTTGTTTGTAATTGCAAAAACTGGGAAGTGTCTATATGTCCATCAAAAGTGGATATGATAATTGATTGCCATTATAATTGATGAAATGAAAAATGATAAAGTCATAAAAAATAAATTATAAACAAATGAATGTGGATGAGTTTCAAAACATACATTAAAAGATCCAAAAAAGATCAAACCACAGAAAAAGAAAAAAAAATCCTGACATTTTGGCACCACATTATCTTCAAAAGCAAGTAACAATAAACTTATTCTTAAGAGATAACTATATATAGTAGCACATTAAAGAAAGATATTTTTAAAAAGATGAGAAAGGGCCCTAATAAACTTAATTATAAATTTTAAAAGAGGAATTACAACTCATACCACAGAAATACAAATTATCATCTGTAAATACTATGAAAAAACCTAAGCACGTAAACTCTAAAACAGAGATGAAATGGACAAGTTCCTAGAATCAAACAATCTCCCAAGACTCAATCAGGAAGAAATAGAATTCCTGAACAGACTAATAATGAGCAACGAGATTGGAAAACAGGAAAATTCCTCAAAGAACTAAAGTCTAGCTACCATTTGATGCAGCAATCCCACTGCTGGGTATTTACATAAAGAAAAAGAAGTCATTTTATCAAAAAGACACCTGCACTCAAATATTTATTGCAGCATAATTCACAATTGAGAAGAGGTGTAATCAACTCAAACGCCCATCAAGTTATGAGTGGATTAACAAAATGTGGTAGATGTATACCATGGAGCACTACTTAGCCTTGAAGAAGGGCGACTTAATGTCTTTTGCAATAGTTTGAATGGAACTGGAGACCATTATCCTAAGTGAAATATCTCTATTGTGACTTTTACTCTAAATCTTGATCAATTTCGAGTGAAGTAATACCAGAGCCATTAGATTATTTCCAACATTACAAGACTCTTCATTGTTGCTTGATAATCCTCTGCCTTGATTTTAGTCAATTTATTGATTACTCCAATAAAGCTACCAAGAGATATTCTATTCTGGCTACTGTAAGTCATCCCAGCAACCCACAATGAGGATCTTCTTTCTGGAACATTCACTGAAACCTCTATGAGTATTTTAATAAGTAACTTAATTCATGGAACTCATCACATAGATTATGCAAAAGATGCAAAATCAAACCAAGAGTGTTTAAGCAAATCAGACATTAGCAAGAACAAGATGCTGTTTAGTACACTTTGGAATGGTAGAAGATGATACTAATAGAGAGTATAAGATGATCTTGTGGAATATAAAATCCACAACATATTCTATACCTTGTGGAATATAAATCCACTGGGATCATGGAAGGAGGCATTATGTTACAGAGAGCCAGCACTGTGGAAGACAATCAGCCACTAGTGAAATGGGCCTGAGATATGAGTGAACAAAAAGGCTTCCACCTTCTCTTGTTCTCTAAGCTATCAGCAGCAAGTCCTGCTGGCTAAATCTACCTGGCAGTCTTAATTAGGGGATTCTAACATATGGTTTACAGAAAAAAGGCAAGCAGTAGATGAGAGTGACTGATAGGCAATGATTGATATTCATCCAAACAATAATATATAAAATATTATAAGTAGAGTTATACAAATAGATATACTAAATTAGTTTACATGTATATATGTATATATATGCATATTTATATATATAAATTGGATTGCTTTAAAAATTATTTGCCAATCTACTCCATAAACATTTAAGAAGTTTTTCTTGAGTTACATCTTCTTTAGAAGTGTAGAAAAAATAATCTCCTTGAAAAGCTAAATTTAAATAAAGGAAATATGAAATAGCCTAGGAAAACAATTTTTATAACCCAATAGAGATATTTAAACATATATTTAGAAAAATAATTCCGATATTAAATATTAAATGATTTTCAAGTTTATATTGTGCTAAAAAGTCTATAAACTATTGTCATGCAATGGATGTATAATGGCTTATAAAACTCAGGAAGTTATAGCTATCTGAGGTTTATTTTTAAAAATACTAAAAGCTTCAGTAGTTAATACACATGACTGAATTTTCAGTTAAGACTGTCACATATGAAGTGCTGCACCATCATACAGTCTTCCAAAGAAAGAAATATGGCTTAGATAGGGAGCAATGTGCAAATAAATAAGTACATTTTCCCTTCTAAGGGTAAACGGCTGTGTGTCATTTTAAAGAAGTTATTAAAGTTGCTAAAACTTTTAAAAAACATTAATAAAGTTTGGTTTTAAAATACAAACTTTGAACATTTATATGAACAGTAGTTGCAACCTCTCTAGTGTGAGCAGCATGGGCCACATGCAAGCATATCAGCTGAATCCACAGATGCAGAATCTAATTACAATAAGAACTAACCCTTATTAAAAATATTTTGATTATCTTTTTTCTCAATTCCCAAATAGGGACTGCCAATTCACATTATATGCTTATAGTTCTGTAAATTTGCATGTACAATTTATATTAAATTTGCCAATATAATAATTTTTAAATACTCAGGCTAGGATATAAAAGTTCAATTACTATTCTATATTTCCTTCTTCCTAATGTTTGATCAAGAGAGCATTTCTGATGTCAGAGAATGATTTTATCACCTGAGATTTCCCATTATAAAGGGAAACAAGAGTCAAATATTTAGAAATTACAGATCCAGCAAACAGCATCTAAACAGAATTGTTCCTTAAAAATCCTTCTCCTGAGTGTATATCACTTTATATACATGTCACAATATTGCTAAAATAATAAAATATACAGTTTGATGAGTTAGAGAAATGTATACACTAATGTAACCAAAAAAAATTGCAAATATTGATCAGTTTCACTCCCCTTAAATGTTTTTTGCACCTTTCAATAATCAATCCTTTCCCTCCATTCCTAGACTCTAGCTGTGTATTTCCTATGATGTCATATAAACAGCATCATTCGCTACATGATCTTTCATATCTAGCATCATTCTCTTAATATTAATTAATAGTCATTCAAAATATTAATACTGATATTATGTTTCTTTTGTGTTTTTGAATAGTATTCTGTTTTATGACTATTCTATTCTGTACTTTAATGGATAGACAATATTTTGAACAAAACTGCTAAGAGCATTTGCATAGAAAGCAATGTTTGAACATATGTTTTTATTTCTCTTGTAAAAATACCTAGGAGTGAAACTGTTGAGTTGTATAACAACCATATTTTAAATTTTACAAAAAAATTTGACAAACTAATTTCCAAAGGCACTCAGGCATTTTGCATGCCCACCAGAATACACAAGATTTCCAGTCAATATCTCCAATAGCATTTGCTATCATCACTCTTCTCTATTTTAGCTTCATTCTAATGGATGAATAGTAGTATTTCATTATTGTTTTAATTTACATTTTTGCAATGACTAATGATGTTAATCATGGTTGATTGTAATCCTTACACTGCAAATTATAATTGTATCTATACTTACTTTCTAATGGTCCATTTAGTATTAATAATATTAGTAATTTATTTGTATATAATAGAATATCATTCAGGAAATGTTAATAATGTATTTTCTAAAGAAACTTTATACTCAATACACATTTTGGGCAAATAGAAAAATTCTTTGTCTTCAAGAAATAAAGCAATCTTTAGCAATTCTTTCCTTAGGTTGTATATTGGTTGTTTGTTTTTTCTTCATTTCTAAGCTCCGAACTGTGACTGTTTTTTATTTTATTTTTACAAAATTTTGTCACTTTAATTTTTTCATATATTTAGTGCTTTTATTTTTTAATTCATTTTTAGCACATTCATATAATGCATTTTCAAGTTTTATTTAGTAAAAACTAAGTTTCTTTAGGTTACCAAAATGTTCAATTATATGATTTTTCCTTTTCCTAATTTTTATATTTTTCATGATACCTGGATAAAAGATGATTTATCAAAATTGTCATGGTACATGATGTCAGAGTTTTTCTTTACTAATGAATTTTTGAGGTTGGAATTGACATAATATTTAAACAGTGTTATTATGATATAATTTACACATATTAAAATGCATACATATATTTCATGATTACATTATGTGAACTATGGAATCACACTTGTTTATAATCTATCTCCACTCCCACCCCAGTCCTAGGGCAGCCATTGATCTGTTTTTTGTCTATATAAATCTGTATTTTCTAGATAGTTCACATAATGTAATCATCCAATATATAATTTTTGCATTTGACTTTTTTCACTTAGCATAATTTTTATTCTTTTTAAGATTAATATTCCATTACCTGAATAAATTGTTTATCCAGATTCTCAGTAAACAAAAAAGACTGAAGTAAGATTATCTTTCAAAGTTCCATGTGTAAATCGAATTGATTAAGCAATAAATTATGATTTGAATGCTATTATAGCAAAAATTCAGAAACCCATTACATTTACCATGTTAAATTATATAATCATTGTACTTATATAATCTAATACTTATTCTAATTTTAATTTAAATTTTATGAAGATTTTAACTCAAACTACAATCTTTTCTTAAAATATTCTATTTATTTACCTTATGTAATCACCCTGTATATTTTTATTAACTGTGAATTTTATTAACTGTCTCCTTTCCTCCTCCCTTTTCCCTCCTTCCCTCCTTCCTTCCTCCTCTCCTTCTCCCTTTCTTCTTCATCAGATAGGGCTAAAATGTAAGGAGAGGAACACATTCTCACGTGGCAACTGAAAAGATCAGAAAATATGTTTCATCATTGTGTGAACATTCTATCACTCATGTAATAAAGTTGCAGAATATTCTTTAAATAATATTACTTTTGGTTATAAAGTTATTTCTATAGTAATGTAACAGACAAGGCTAGAAACATTTCAAGACTAGCTTTTAGGCAATGTTAGCAGATTATCTGTTTACCCTGTTACCACGGGTGTAAGTTATTTCATATTGGCCTTTCCAAAACTTCACAAGAAATCCTGTTTATGAAAACCAGTATCTTTATGTGATGAAAAGTAATTTAATGCATTTAGATTTTAAATTTAACTGTAATGTTCAATCCAAAGACTTTATCACTTTTATAGGAATTTTAAGCATCCAGAAGCTAATGATAAAGGAAAACATGTAATAAATATGTGCCGTCCTCCTGATCCTTGAATTAACTCTAACATGTTGATCGGTTCAGTATGGATAGAGAGGTGGGCATATCATCTCAATTTCTTGTCTTATTATAAGGATTACTCTTGACTTCTCAGAGGACTTTGCGTCTTGATTCTTTATTTCAGGTCAGTAATCAAATCTGTAATGATATCACAAATCAAGGGATCCAAGAGCAAAAATTGACTATAATTTGACCTTATTCATTTGAGTAACTTTCTTATCCATGTAATTTTAATAAAGATAAAGCTTTGAGAATTATGTAACATTTTAAGAATTATTGTCTTACCATTTACTTATAATGTAATGCCATGGAAAAATTAATTAAATGAAGTACACACTTTCATAGCTAGGATATATCATCAATTAAAATAAATATTATATCAGAGAAAAAAATAAACAATGAATTAGTGGTTTTTCAATATATTGGCCAATGAGTAGAGAACATTATTTTCTCCTAAAAGATTTTATAAGAAATTTACCTGCTCTATAGCTAACATGGTTTGCTAGATTCTGATTCAAAAATAATTTATATGGCAGAGCAGCCATATTGGAAAGCATTAGATTTTATAATAAGGCAGATGATATAACAAGTGATATGCATGTAATAAAATTAGTAGTGGCCAGTGTCCCCCAAAAGAGAACAAGATCACATATACTTTTGGATATTTTTCCATGGCAAAAAATCTTTTTTTCTATACATTTAGCTTTACTCTTCCAGTGATTTAGAATTTTTCCTTCAAAATACTAAAAATATAATAAAATATATAGAAATATTTTTATCAAGAAAGACATCACTAAACAAATATTAATAGTAAAGCTAAAGGATTATTGTCAATTGTGCCTGAGCACATCCACCCCTCCAACACTGTTGCATAGACTGTCCTCCACGTAACTGTCAATGCTTTCCTGTGCAAGCACTTCAGAACTAAGATTGCTTCAATCACAAGGCATGATCAATCCCCTCACAACCTCAAAGAATACTTTGTAATGATCCTGCCCAACAATTAAAACATAGACCAGGAGCAGGAGCATGATGTGCTCATTATAATTTCAGGCAATAATTTAAAATGTACTGAAATAAAAATAAAAATAAACTATACCACCAAAAAGGGGACAGAAGTCCTCTACTAGTGAGAAAAAATGATGATGATGATGCTAAGAATATCAAATCATTAGAACAGAATCAAGAGGAGGAAAGAAATTAAGAGAGGGATTTTTATATTTCATGTTATTTCAACTGTATGGTTTGACATTTTTCATTAGAAATAAAATGTTCTGCTTTCTTCTATTCTAAAATACTTCCTTTCTTGCCTCATGTATTACATAAAAACCTTTACTCACACTTTTATGGTTAGATGGAGGTCCTGGATGATGAGTTCAGTTATTGCTACCAGATAGATCACAGGGCCAGTAAAGCTTTGTTATTTGCATAGAGTTCAATAACAAAAAGAGAAAAACAGAAAGCAATGAGTTTGATTGCCAGTAGAGAAATGTGGTTTTGTTGCTTCTTATAATTATTTAGAAATAAATAAAAAAGAAATTTCATTTAGCTCACAGTAACAGAGTTCTCTAACAAATGTAATGAGCCCATATTTTTGGTCTCATATTACATCAAATCTTAAGGCAGCAATCTAGGGCTGTTACAAGGAGATTCAATAAAACTCTCAGAAATCCAGGATCTTTATATTTAGTCTATCATAGATATCATGCACTTCCTATACTCAAGGTCACCTCAAGTTTAAAAGCTGGTTGTTAAAACTTCTAGCAGTTACATTATAGGCAAGAAAAAGAAGAACAAAGAAAAACAAAGGGAAATAAACAAATGGGATCTGATCAAATTAAAAAGCTTCTACTCAGCCAAAGAAACTATCATTAGAGTGAATAGACAACTTACAGGATGGGAGAAAATATTTGTTCTCTTCATGTTCAATAATGGTCTGATAACAAGAATCTATCTAGAACTCAAAAGAATTAACAAGAAAAATCAAACAACCCCATCAAGAAATGGGCAACAGAAATGAACAGAAACTTTTCCAAAGAAGACAGAATAATGGCTTACAAACATATAAAAAATGTTCAACATCTCTAATAATCAGAGAAAGGCAAATCAAAACCACAAGGAGATATCACCTAACCCCAGTGAGGTTGGCCTGTATCAAGAAATCCCAAAACAACAAGTGCTGGTGAGGATGTAGAGAGACAGGAACACTCTTACACTGCTGGTGGGACTGCAAATTAGTGCAACCTTTGTGGAAAAGAATTTGGAGATACCTCAAACAGCTAAAAATAGAAATACCATTCTATCCAGAAATAGCATTATTAGGCATCTACCCAAAAGAGCATAAAATATTCTATTATAAAGACATCTACACCTGAAGGTTTATGGCAGCATAATTCACTATTTTTTTTTTATTTCAGCATATTATGGGAGTACAAATTTTAAGGTTTCAAATAATGCCCTTGCTCCCTCTCCCCCCACAAGTCTGAGCTTCAAGTGTGACCATCCCCCAGATGGTGCACATCTCACCTATTATGTATGTATATAACTGGCCCCCTCTCCCCTTCCACCCACCCAATTAATGTACTTCCTATATGTCCACTTAGGTGCTGCTCAGTTAATACCAGTTTGCTGGTGATTATATGTGGTGCTTGTTTCAGAATAATGGCTAACAAACATATGAAAAAATGCTCAAGATCTCTAATCATCAGGGAAATGCAAATCAAAACTATAATGACATATCATTTATTTCCAATAAGAATGGCCTTTATCAAAACATCACAATTCACTATTGCAAGGATGTGGAAACAACCCAAGTGCCCGTCAATTCATGAGTGGATTATTAAAATTTGGTATATGTTTACAATGGAATATTACTCAATTCTAACAAACGACAGCAGGCCAGCACCGATTATATTATCCTGGATTGAGCTTAAACCCATTATTCAAAGCGAGGTGACACAAGATCAGAAAAATGGGCTCCACATATACTTGCCATCAAATTGGTACTGACCGATAATCAATATGGTGCTCAAAGGGTGGTGGTGTTCACCAGGGATTCGGGGGTTGGGGGGCAGACCCACATCTGAGGGATGTGGTGAACAGTTGGAGGGGAAGAGCATATCTCTAACCCTTGCTAGGGAAAGGCAAAGGTATAAAATCTAACAAAAATGTTAAAAAAAAGTATCAGGTGTCGGGCAGGTGGGGGTTGTATTTAACATATAAACTTAAGGACAGTGAGAACCTCTGCATGTGTAGGTGGGCTAGTAAGGCCTTTGCTAGCAATTTGGCAGAGGCAAAGGTATACTCATCTGAAAAGAGCATCTTCACAGACAGGTTTTTAGACATTATGAGATTGAAAAATTATCTGCTGGTTTTATAAAAGGAGATAGATTTTGGTATGTACCATGGTAGGATAGGTGCCTGGGCCCAAAGAAAAATTACAGAAAAAATTTTTTAAAAAAGATCTTCAGGAAAAGTCTAAAATAACTCCTTCTGATACAGGTATAAATCAGAAAACTATGGATTAATACCTTCCTAGAGCTGCAACCAGGTAGACCATGATAAGAGCAATTGAAGATACTTCATGAAGATTATGGAACTCATAAAAATACATATAAGGCTTGGGCAAATATGTAAGAGGGGAGCACCTGAAGCACCAGCACATAGTAGTCAAATATTATTAGGTGAGATTCAAGGTGACTTGATTTTGTAGGCTCAAATTCGGGCTTTACTGGTACTCTGATGAAAAATGCCTAAGATTAGAATGTTCCAGGAAGATAACTGGTAGGTCTTCTAAACCAGATGTGAGAATGGCAGAGCCAACATAGGTAAACCAAAGACTTATAGTAGAAAGTCTTTGAGGAAACAGTACATATTTTTTGAAATTATTTTATTCAGGAAGGAAAAGAATATGACGTATCACAAGAATGTCACATTTCTTCCTGTAGGTAAAATATTTAGCTAAATTTTTTGAATGTGATAAAACAAAAAGTATATGTATCTCAATTATTGAATATGACAGAGAAAAGAAATGTATGCATCTCAAAGCATAGAGAAAGGAAGAATATACTAATGTACCAAATTCTGAAGAACAAGCAAATCCAAATGAGTAAAGCTCCAAGAGAGAGTATTAGGGCAATACTCAGGATTAAGGGATAAAATGAGTGCAATTTCTAAACATTCAGGGAACTCAGGAACTGAAAGCAACCAGATAAAAGTGGATATGCAGAACACTATTTGAATAGCTAAAGACTTAGGTTGTCGTTTCAAAAAAAAAAAAAAAAAATTTTTCCAAAGGAAACAAAAGGTTTCCAAGTAAAGGAACCCGGCCCCAAAAAAAAAGAACAAACGAAAAATGCAAAAAAAACGGAAAAAAGCAAAAAAAAAAAAAAAATAATATTTTTTCCCAGTGTAATCATACGTTTTCCAATTAAGGTACCCTGTCCTCAGAATAAAGTAGCAACTGAAGATTGCAAGGAGACTGGATAAAGTCAATAGACAAGCCTTATAGGAAGAAGAGAAAGCAACTCGTTACCTTGAAGTATTGCGCAACAGGGGCAGAGAAAGAAATATTGGGGCTTTTGGTTTCGGTACTTTTCTAGGGC